CGGGGGCGGGGCCAGGCAGCGCGAAGAGTCCGAGGGGGTGGGGCCACAGGAGTGCGGGGGTTCGGAGGGGCGGGGCCAAGGGAGAGGCTGAGCTACGTCAGCTCAGGGGTCTGAGGGGAACGGGAGGGAAGCGGCTACTTCCGCGCGGGGTTCCAAAGAGGGTGGGGCCAAGACAGGGGGCGGAGCTATGCCAGCACAGGGTTATAAGTGGGCTAGAGCCGGGTTTTGAGGGGCCTCACAAAGGATCAGCCAATGGTGTCAAAGGGGGGGTGGGGCCAGGTCTAGGGGTGGCTCTAGTGGTTGGGTGGTGCCTGGAGCAGGGGCTGTGCCTCTAGGCTTCCTGGCCTGTAGGGTAGAGGTGTGGCGTGGCATGGCATGGCACGAGCCCCCCTGGACCCCTGGGTGCCCCCTTGCTGTCCTGTTTCCTACCCACAGTCCTCGCCCTGGTTTCTTACCCACCTGCATGAGACCAGGAATAAATCTTCAGGTGCCTGGAGTTGTGGTCTCTTCCCAATGAGTGCTGAGGGTCCATTCTTCCTGGAAAGTTGCAGCCGTGATCCTCGTGGGTCCCAGGAGCCGTGGGCATGGAGCAGAAGGCCAGCGCTGGCAGGCGTCCTGCTGAGATTGAGAGAGCCAGTGATGCTACCCCGTGGGCAAGGATTGTTCCAGCAATCGGGTTTTGCTGAGCTGGCTGCATAACTGGGAGAGAAGATGAGCTGTCAGGCATGAAGGGTGCAGGCAGAAGTGACAGTTGTTGCCTAGTCTGGCCATAGGTTGCAGTCTATAGCTGTGACCAAATACAAGTGCACGGCTGCATGCAGCTTTGAAAGTAGAGGATTATGTGAAAATCTGAACCCTCATTGCATGAGGCATCAGATAAAGACATTTCAAAATGCAGCAGCATCTGTGACTTGTGCTTGTGAGCTCCCAGCCTGTTGTTTTCAGAATGGGAGAGGGGAAAGGGAGCTGAGGGAGTTCAGCCCCCCTGGAGGTTGGGCTGGGTATAATGGAGCCTCCTCCCAGGTAAGAGGACTGCAGTTCACCCACCTTACCCTTCAGCACCAGCTGGGGAGCCCCAAGACTTGAGTTCCTTCAACTGTCTTTCCCCTCTCCCATTCTGATAACGGAGTAGTGGCAGAGAGCTGGCCATTGCTAGATTCCCTGCTCTCTTTCCCCCTCCCCTCCCCCACAACCAACACTGAACTTCTGTTTGGTCTGGGGTAACTTGTAACCCAGAATGATTTTTGCAAAGCGCTCTGAGTTACAGCTGGGAGCTGCACCCCAAGGGTGCTCATCTTCAGGGCTTTTTTTTGTGTCCAGAAGCTTGTCTAACATCTCTCCCACTTCTGCTGTTGATCACCTCCCCAAAATCATTGCTTCTCCTACTTCCTGGACCATTACTGCTACAACAGTATTGGAGCTTCATTAATCCTTGGGTTGCCCATGAGACCTTGGTGATACCTTGGTCTCAACTCCCAACTTCAAAGCACTGGAAAGGAGATGGTTCTTATATTTGGGTCATGCTGATAGCTGCACAGTTTAAAATGTTTCTTTAAATAAAGTCAAAGTGGGTTAATTTGGCCAGTCGGAAAATTTCCCAAGAGGTAATTTCTAAGCTGGGACAACCACTTAGCTCATAACTCTGAAATGGATAAGGTGCTATCAGTTTTGAGGCTGCTGTAGAGGCAAGGCTGTGGAGTAACAAGGAGTAAGCCTTAACGAAGCACAGACATTTAAATGGCTGCCTGCCTTGCCAGCGAGCGTCTTAAGCAGCTTCTTTTCTTGCTTGTCTATTGTGAATGCATTCAGTACTTCTGGCGTTTTAAATGTTGAGCTGGGTGGGTGGTGGTTATCTCTGCTATTGATGAAGGAGATAAATGATAAATTCACGGGCATGAGTGTGCCTTCTCACTCATGATAAAGAAAGGCTAATTATGGAAGAACACATTACAGATGAGTATTGCTCTTTCTTGGATACCAAAAAGTTGAATCCTTTGTCATTGCTCCTCTCATTGCTTGATCTTTAAATTAGCTTTTTCCAGAGAAGCTGGTGAATGAAATTGTCTCTTTCATTTTCCTTTTCCAGGCTCATCTCCAACTTCCTTTTTCTCTTTTCATTACTCTATATTAATTTTGAAATAATAGGTTCAGAGAGACAGAGATTCACGTCACAATCCGCGTACAAAAATTAGTGAAATGAAGATCAGAGTGATATACATGGCAACTTCAACTTGATTCCCAAGACAACAGTTACCACTTACATGCTAAACTTTTATTAGAAAAGGGAAAAACTTACTGGAAACACTGAAAAAATGTTAAGCATTAAAGCTTTAAATTAAAAAAAAAAATATTCACTTGTTTATCCTTTAGCTGCAGACATTTTTTATAAAGAAACCACGTTAGATAGTCTTAAAGGGTATTAAAGATGGTCCTGGAGGGAGGAGATTGGGGAGGAAGAGGGCAGATTTAGTTACCCTAGAGCTCTTATTTCTGAGGCTTTTGTTAGAGTCTAGTCCTGCTCCCTTGATGATATAGACATAAAACAGGAGGAAAGGGAGAAGCAGCAATGATAGAATATATAGACACTTTGCTGAGTTTTATTTGCAGCCTTGCTGCTAGAGAAAGACAAATATAACACAGCCTGTCAGCCACTCAAAGGGTGTGTCTGCACATGCATTAATGTGCATTAGGTTGTGCTAACATGCAGTAATGCATTTGCACTTTTTAGTGACTCTTAATGTGCAGTAGATTTTTACTGAACATTAGCATAATGTTACTTTTATTTTTACATGTGCTTTAATGTGCAGTAAAATAGTTTACTGTGCATTAAAGTGCATGGGTAGATGTGCCTGGAGATCTGAAAAACATAGACCAGCATTTAGCTGTTTAAGACCTTGCTTTTAACTGCCTTTTTTTGCTCACAGTAGCAGAATTGAAATAAAATTCAGTTTTGGTTATCTTAGCAAGACTGTTACTAAGTTGAAGACAAAAAGAGATGGTGAGAGGGAAGAAAGAAGCAATAAGGTGAGCAACATAACAGATGCAATAGAATGAGAATAACAGCAGTAGTGAAAGATATATGTGGAATTGTCTCACATTACACTTAGGATATGTTAACTGCACTTAAAATACAAGCATCTGCTTTTGATGCTTAAAATACTGCTGTGTTCAAGCAGTAAATGTAATTGTATCGTGACGAAGTTGGGATCTTTTCAGGGAGGAGTATCTCCAGATATTAAGTAATACATGATCACAGTTATTGTCTGACTGCTTTGCAGAGATAATATCAGCACAGCTCCAGTCCAGTGCCAGAGCTGGGACTGACAATCAGCTCTGGTATGGGGCTGGGGCTGTGACCAGCAATCAGCAGATTGTTCTCCTGGCCCCAGCACCACACCAGTCTTGCTGGGGTTCTGCACTGTGTTGCACTTAACAATTAGGCTAGGAACAGACATTCAAAAAGCCTAAGCCTGAATTGATTCAATCTTTGCAGGTTAGTCTAAACTGGCTAGGCTAAAATAAGTTTGTAACTGTACAGACATCCCAGAAATGCAGGCATATGCCTGCAGTGGGTTAGGCTAGAAGCCAGGGGGTGCTAGAGTAGCCTTCCCTCCCCTTCTACAGTGCTGAACTGAGAGGGGAGTGGCCAGGCCCTGGCAGGATGCTCTGATTGGGGAGGGGACCCTCTCTTCTCCCTGCCACCCCCTCCATCCCAGCAGGGACTTGATAACACAGTGTTTATCACTTCTGACTCAGTGTTTATCACCTCATTAAGAAAACAACAGAGGGACATTACCAGCTACCTGTTGATTCTGCCTTTGTCCTGTCTGCCACAGCACGGACCATAGCCAGCATGTGGTCTGTTAGCTAATGCTGAGAGGTGCCTGTGTAAGGCAGAGGGTTGGGGAGGTGAGAGGGGCAGCAGAGGGAAACCAGACAGACGCCTGCAATCTATGCGAAGCTGCAGCCAGGGAGGAGAGGGGAGGGGCCAGCTCTGCTGTGGAGCAGAGAGCCCTGCCCAGCCCAGAGACCATGCTGGGATGCTGGGGGAGTCTGGTTTAACTTAAACCAGCAAGTGATCTGGGACAGACATTGTATAAACTTGAGCCAAATCGGTTAAGTCTTGATACTACATTCAACCAAGTTTATCTTAAATTTGTTTCAGCCATTTTCAAACTGGTTTATGTGCACTGAACATCTGTTCTGTTACAGGTTTAAACCAGTTTCTGATCAGTTAAATTGATTTATGTGTAATGTCTGTCCCTAGCCTTAAAGATCAGATTACTGTGTAACTGCACAAAACACATACTAGCTTTTAGTATAGCACGATAATGCTTATTATGGTCTAAATAAAACATACTAAGTATCCTATTTGGCAAGGCCCATATTTTAGGTAGGATTCAAGATTTAACCAAAGTCAATGAAGAGAAGGTGGTGATGTCATTTCTCCCTTTTCCCTGAATGCCTGGCGAGGATATATTGCAGAATCGGGAGTGAAGGCCTATCAATGTCACGTGGATCCCAGAGTCCCAGCAAGCAGTTCATGTGGCTGGTGTGATGCCAAATTCTGGATACCAAAAAAAGGGTGATGAATAAACCCAATATCTCAGCTTTATTTTATTCATCGATTAGGCCTAGCTTCTGGTACACCAATTTTGATTCCCATTGGTTACTGGTCCCACACTTCCTTGTTTTCCAGACATGATGTCAGCAGTCATTGGATTATAGCCTTGTTATGTGGACTAATAAAGTCTTTTTTTTTTTGTCTTAACTTTTGTTGGCCTATACAGAGAAGTCAAGTCAGGTTTACATGTTTCCAGAAGTATAAGCCATTCTATTGTCTGATATTATAAATAAATATGTCATTCCCTATAAAAGTTGTGAACTTTGTGTTGTGACAATGAAAATGAATGTGCTTTCTCCAAAGAAAAAAACAGGATGATGCTCCCAAAATTCAGTCTTTTATGAATCTTGATCTGATCCAGTCTGTATTCACCTCATCACTTTAGCTTCCATCATTCCTGTCCTTAGGATACCAAATTGATATATCCTTCCTCTCCATACTTATTCTATCTTCATCCAGACATGCCTTTTCTTCTCTTATTCTTGTTGTGTAGGATATCCTTCCCACTTCAAGGCTGTCTTCAATTCTTTTCTGCTGACTAGACTTCTTTATTCTTGTACCTGAGAGTCCAAAGCAAGTTCCAAGGCCCAAACAGTTCTTCTGTACCATAGTATTTTTCCTACCAGATAAGGAGAAAATAAAAGTGGGGTTGTTTATTTTTAACTTTTTTAAATGGTGAACTTGGTTCAGCATCAAATTATTATTTTTTTATTTACATACACAGAGACCTTGAATAACCAGGTTATCTTCGCTAGTCAAAATGAAGCAGCAGACGGATACCTGTTACTTTTAGGACATTTGCAGATTAGGAAGAAAAGTATTGCCTTGAAGAGTCAAACAACTCAGGAAAAAATGGCACGTTTATATTTTGGGTGAAAAGAGTGCACATGATTTGCAACAGAATTTTCTTTTCTTTTTAAAACCGAATATTTCAAGATATTTGAAGAAGCAAGATCATCTCTCTGGAGATCTCCTGCACAGGACAGCTTTTCTTGGTCTTCATTATGTAGTGACAATGAAAAAAATAGCACGCTCTTTTGGCTTATTCAGTTTTGCCTTGCTTCACCTATGGTCTTAGATACTGTATAATGAAAACTACTACTTTTTAAAAAATGGAGTCAAGATTTCTGTAAGTGGAACCACTTTTAATTTGGTTCTGCTACAAATCTACCTCAATACTGAAGCAGTACAAATGGCACAGAGATGGATCCCTTCCCAATGGAGATATATGGACCCAATGTTTTTTGTAAGCAGTAATACAGCCTAATCACCTGGCAGTGTCCACTAATTTCTGGTTACATATTTATGATGAAGAATGGGCAGTGCTTTATAGAAAACTGATAGTTTTTCATGTTAATTCCATCACAGATAGGAACGGATCCACCTAGTTTACCATTAGTTTTGTTCGGCTTAAAAAAAAATCTAATGATACTTCTTGTTATCTGAATTTTAGTGGCATAAATGACAGACTAGAGAGGAGCCGGTCACTTTTGCAGAGTTGGTGTTACTCATATTTTGAATTGTGCTGGAGGCACCCAAAGGCCTTCATCAGGATTTGGCTGTCTGTTGCATATGCACAGAACAGTCCCTGTCATGACAAGTTTATAATTGAAAAAGGTAAATAAATATGTGAAGTTATCAAAAAGATGTTAGGTGCATATGTAAAATGTGCTTTGTTACCATTTAAAATGTGCACAGCTAACATTCACTTGCCAAAAGCCTGGGACTTAAACTGGTTGGGTGACACCAATAAAGAACAAGTTGCATTGTTAAATTGTGTAGAGTCTTAGGCATGAAACATTTGTACTCTGTTAAATCAAGCGATGATGAAATACTCATCAATGTGAAATAAAAATTCCAAGATGAATAAAAATTGATTTTCTATTAAGGATTTATGAAAAAAAATAATATAAGTTTCTTGCAGGCTGGACCATTAACCAAAGTGACCATTTGTAAGGACAAAGAAGGAAAACCAAAATCATTTGGATTTGTCTGCTTTAAGCACACAGAATCAGTGCCTTATGCTATAGCTTTGCTGAATGGAATCCGTTTATATGGAAGACCGATTAAAGTACAGTATCGATTTGGTAAGTTTAATAATTTCAGTTATTAACAACTTAGTTGTCCTTTAATGTGACTTTTCTCTATAAAATGAATTTAATGGCTGTGTAACTTGCCAATATTTTACTCCCCTTGTGGGTGTTACAATCTACCATATTTTCTTAGAAAGAAATAGCATTTCTATATTCAAAGGGTGGAAACAGATGTCGCCTTTCTGTCACCATAAAAATTATGGTCACAAGGGCCAAGCAAACAGGTGTCCATAACATTTGTCGCACCATAAACGCCCAAAATTTCTGGCTGTGATATAGATGGTACCAATTAGTCCTACTTAATTGAGGCAGATATCTGTTAGGTTTGTGAAGGGAGAGTGCAATCAGCTGGAGTTACCCATGTCCATCAAGTGCCCCAGGAAGGCACTCCCAGGGCTTTAGGGGACTGATCCTGTGCACCCCAGGATCAGGCTCAAAAAACCATGGGGGTGCTTGCATAGGTTCCCATGTTTGGGATTCCCTGAGCATTCAACCACACTCCAGTGCAGTCCCAGCCCTACTCCCAGGACTGCACCAGAGTGTCTAGCTCACTCTGGTACAGTTCCAGGACATGTTCCTGTAAGCAAGGAAACCTGGAGTTTCCCCACTTACAGAGACACATCCCAAAGATTCTGTGCGCACATCCTGGCACAGCCGATCAGCTTTATTTGGTGATGCCTATCTCTAGCCATATAGTAAAGGAGCAAATATTTGTGTCCTTAGTGAAATAAGGAAGATGGGAGGATTCAGAATGTAACTGATAAAAGACCTTAGAGAATACATTAAGAACAGCTTGGCAACAAATTCTCATTGCAGCAGTGAACATCTAGCTGTCAACCTGAATTTGGAGAAGTATAAATGAACTCAGAACGTGACTATGAGTGCATACAGTGGACTATTTTACTAGTTGTTTGTACACCAAATTTTATACTAAGACATTTTACACCTTTTTTGTACACATTTTATACACATTTTATACTGGGGAGAAGTAATGACCATTAATAAAATAAAAGCAGGCATTCAATCAAGTACGTAGTTGGAAGAATATAGTTAAGTTAGACTTATATTTTATTTTGTGTGTTTTTTTTTTTTTAAAGTTTGGGATCAGTAAAATGCTTCCACTCGTTTGACTGATTTCTGTCCCCACCCCCCGCCCAGTGAAATAAATGAGCATTTCCAGGCAGTGTTTCAAAATGTGGCTAATTGTAGTTCTGGATCTCATAGGCCCCTTTCTCTGTTCCCCTTAGCATTCACCCTATATTCTTCTGCAAGTGCATAGGATTTATTTATATAGGCCCAAACTGTGGTTCTACTGAGATTTGGCAGTGACTTCAGTAGTATCTGGATTTAACCCTGGGTCAGTCAGAGGGCTCAAACTTATGTTGTACTGTGTACCATGATGAGTTCAAATGGATTTTCTAATTTTCTTATGCTGAATAGAAATGGACTTTTCAGTAGTTCATATTCAAAATGGAATATTCTAAAATGTATTTCAGAGAATATTCTAACAATGGCACATATCCTTCTAGAAGACCTGACATCTATTACCCAGTCATCTTTTGCATGAGTTACCAAAACTTAAACCATCTACACATGACATGTTAACAGCACGGTTCTTTAATATTATAAATAAACTAAACTGAAAGCTGTAATGGACTTGACTGTACGTACATTAAGCAAAATATTTATTGACTCCAGAAAGGGCATAAAAAAGAGAAAAATATATTTGGCAAATAGATGTCTCTAACTAGCTTTCCCTGTTCTAATGCTCAAGACATTATGATGGTGTTTACAAACAACGAAGGCAAGAATAATTGGAACCCTAAGTAGAAAGAGAAGGAAAATTAGAAGTAGACTGTATGCATATAAATTCTAATAATAGAAAAATGAATGTGGAAGGGATCTTAAAAGTCATCTTCAAACCCACACTGAAAGGTAGGCTCTCCCCAATCTAAACAATCCCAGACAAATGTTTGACTGAGCTAAACTTAAAAATAACTGCGGTTCCACATCCTTACTAGATATTCTGTTGCAGTGTTTAGCCATTCTCAGAGTATGAGGGTTATACTATTTGACTGAAATTTCCCTTGCAGTTTAAGCACAGTGTTTCCTATTCCCTTTGAACACAGAATATTTAGCCAGCATGCAGTTAGTAACAAACCACTATGCAATTACAATCCTAATATATTTCAGGCATTGATTAGAGTTATTATATTCAATGTATGAGCTACTAAATCTAAACAGTGCATTTGGCATGAGGTGGAATTTTCAAAAGTGATAGTCTGATAGACCATCAATGAAATTTCATCTCCTCTGGTCCTAAAACCTCTGTTGAAATAAAAAGGAGTTAGACACCTAAGCCTGTGTCCAGATGAGCGTGGCTGTGCAGAATCTGGTCCCGCAGACATGTCTGCACATTCAGTTGTTCTCCACAATACAAGAGAGCAGCATGGAGTAGCATGGATACCCAGGGGTCAAAAAAACCAATGGAAAAAAAAGCAGAGCGGAGCACGCAGTAGCAGTGTGCACTGCCCAAAACCAGAGCCTGGCCAGCCAGAGCTGCACTGTTCTGCCAGCACTGCTGCAGCCCCTAGAGGTCTGCAGAACCCCAGGTAAGGCTGCTGGGGCCAGGCCAGTGCTAACTCCAACCTCCCCTACCCCACATCAGGTAACTTGAGGGTGTGTGGCACAGGCATTTCGTGGTGATAACTAGTGGCAGCACAAGGTGCGCCACTACTAGTTGTCCCCAGGGAACCGAACATCTATGCATGTCTGGACACAGCCTAAGGGTCTTTAAAAAATGGGTCCATGGGTGCAGAAGTCTCTTTTGAAAATGGGATGTAAGCTTTGAACTCTTATAAGGACTTTTAAAAATTTTAGCAATGAACAGAGAAAATTCATTTTGTAAGTGTTATAGATTCTGCTTTCAATTACACTTATGCAAATAATGAAACAAATGAAGTTATGTAAGTGTCAGAATTATTTCCTTGCAACAGAACCATACTTTGTAATGTTTATGGTCTGTAAAATACCATTCTATGCCTAATCTTTTAACTGCTTTCATCATCTATGATGGGATTTACAACTTACTAATTTTTAGCTCTTACTTCATCTGTCATAACAGAAAACAAAACAAATATTGCATTTTTATTTTCTCTACAGGGAGTTCCTACTCACCAGAGGTAAACAGCCCTATCCAAGGCTTTGAGAACTGTGTTGACATACATTCACCAACATATAGGTAACAAAAAAGAACTTTGAAATAGTCATTGCATAGTGTTAAAGAAAATGTAATTTAAAACTTAAATGGCATACTAGCTTAAGTCGATCTGTGGGGGAAGACAGGAGGAATCTGAAATAGCTTTCCTAATCACTTACTTGTAAAGTACCAAAGATACCTAGAATACTAAGATTTCAGTTTTTGACATGATGTTCATGTGGCATTGGTTTTGGACCCAAGCATATAATTTATTGCTGTAACTAGTTTCAAGATATATGAAACTCTTTCTGCCAGACCTTTACTGTTTCTAGTATATTGTAGATGGGGGATCTGTTGGAGTGAAGCATGTTTGCTTTTAAGAGTTGCAAACGATATTAGAACATGAGATCAGTCTGTAGATGCCTCAAAAATAAAAATTGTAATGTGTTTGACTCCCTCTGCTGACTCATTAGGCCTGGTTCCTATTACTTACTCTTAATATTCTGGTGTTTAAAATGAATATTATGTTGTTCACAAAATGACTGTAGCACAAATTTTATGCCTCTCTTTTTCCACAAGAACTGAGATGTGGCAATATTTTGAATTTGTGTTCACATGAGTGACATTTAGAGTGGGAATTTTCAGGAAAACACTGTCATAAAGGGAATCAGTTTTTAAACTCTGAGTGAGGTTGTTAGGGCTTTTTGTGGTTGGTTGGTGGTTTTTCCTTGTTCATGTACAAATAGAAGTCCTGAATATAAGAACACATAATCCTAAATTACCTGAATATAAGAACACATAATCCTAAATTACCAGCACTTACCTCTAACAACTCTACCAAAGTCTTCAGTGTTTTTGTTTAAAACTGTCAAAGAAATTTTAGGGAAAAAAGACAGTCCCAGGCCTGATCCAAAGGTCTTTAGAATCTGTGAACTTCAATGGGCTTTGGGATCAAGTAGTCTCTAGTCCCCTGGTTTAATTTCTTTCACTGAAACAATAGCTCTTAAACAGAAGTTTGTTCAACTTTTAACATTTTATTCACCCAGTTATATATTCCTCAAAAATAAGCAGTCTTGGCAGAAGTCACAGCTTTATGTTTGTTTTCATAGAAATCAAGAGTCATATGGCAGTCCTCCATTTCCTGTTACCCCTTTTCCAATGAGCAATAATTTACCTCAGGATTATTCAGTCTTTCAGAAGATGGTAAGTTTGGTTTAAAGGTTACAAATCTGTTCTACTGCCATTCCTTTAATGCAAGCAAAATGACTTACATGTGAAATAAAAGGCAACAATTCATGTGCTGTCTTTTCTGAATATACTTTTTTTCTGGTCACTGTATTAATAGATCATTCTTTCACATTCTCATCTTATCAGGGAGAATGAAAATCACAGCAGATTACATTAGAAACATGATCTGAATTTCAGTTCGTGGTTTCCAAGCCAGGGTTTGAATCATGCTCTAAAACAGTGGCTCCCAATCTGTGATACATGTACCACCAGTGGTATGTAGACAACCTGTCAGCAGTACGTGGTAGCAGCGGAGAAGGGGGTGCTCAGGGCACTCGTGCCTGGCACAGGCACCTGGTGGGGCACAGTTCTGGCCAGCGCTGCACATTGCAGTGAGGGGCACAGCCTCTGCCGGGCCATCTGTATCACCAGCGCTCCCTGTGTGCACGTGCAGCTCTGGCATTCACAAGGCATGGGAGGGAAGCCCCGCGAGCTGGAGCCAGCTGCTTTCCCCGCCAGGGGTGTGCAGGGTAGGAGGGAAGCCCCGGGTGCCTTCCCCTGCGGGCTGGGGAAAGAAACTGGCTCCAGTGCATGGGGCTTCCCTCCCATGCCCGGTGAGAACGGGGAGGACCAGCGATACAGACTGCCCAGCAGACGATGTGTCTCTTGCTGTGATGTACAGCGCTGGCTGGAGCCATGCTCTGCTGGACATCCTGACTCCCCACACACCCTACATACCCCACACACCCATACCCTGCCCCTACAACCTCATATATATACACAGCTCCCTACATACCCTATGCTCCCCCCCCACAGCCATACCCTACCATACACACACCCTTCCACACCCTACCTGGTTGTACAGTTTTAAATTGGTGGTATGCAATCTGTCAGAGTTTGGGAACCACTGCTGTAAAGCTGTGTGTCTGACATTGAGGTTGCCCTGTATTTATGAAGAAAACTGGTGCCTGAGCATAGGCTACGAGGGGGAATGGGGGAGTATGTGCCCCCCCTGACAGCGAGTGCTCTGGCTGGTAGGGGGGCATAGAGAGCACTTGTGCCCCGCCTCTCCAATTGGCTCTGCCATGCTGCACGCAGAAGTACCATCACTTCCACCACTGCTGTGCTGCTGGCGCGCTTGGCGACCAGCTGCTGGGGGACCGCCCCCCCTGGTTGTGCCCCACTGGTGCCCCCACAGATTCGGGAGGCACCAGTCGCCCATGGACCCAAGTATAGATTTCAGGCTGACGACTTCTACCATTTGGGTCAATTTCTATGGCCACTTTATGCTGTCAGTCTGCTGCCATAAGAGCAGTGGATCTCCCAAACCAAGGGATATCCTAAATTATACAGGCTTGTTCAGATGAGGTAGAGGAATCATAACCAAGGGAAAGATGTAGCTACATCAGTTTAACTTCCATAGTTTTTCTAGATATACGTTGATGTTACCTTTAGGCAAGCTAGGCCTACACAAGGAACATTTTGTTACTGTAGCTTTTTCAATGTAATCAGTTTATATCAGCAAAAGTGTGATTTTGCTAATGTATCCGTGTGTGCAGTAATGCCTGTGGGTGGTATAATTATGTTGCTCCTGTTCACACATCTGATCAACATAAATACAGTTGGCAAAACTTTGTAATGTACAGCTGCCTTTAGTTTGGAATCACATTGAATATATCTTGAGGAGCAAAGGTTGCATCATCCAACCTACCTATGTCACATCCTTTCCCTGCTCCCACAAGGCATTAGTGATTATATTATTATATTAGTTACTTCTATTGCCGTAGTGTCTCTGAGCCTGTTTTCTTGCTCACCTGGATAGAACCTGATGCTTTGATTTAACTTTCTTGCCTAATTTGATGAAGATATGAAGATACTAAAGGCAGGGCTGGATTAACACATAGGCAAATAGGCACATGCCATGGGCTCTGAGCTGCGGGGGGTCCCAGTTCTTCCCTCTGTGGTGGCGGTGCAAATTGCTCTGTTTGTCCCCCCTTCCCTTCCCTTCCCTTCCCTTCCCCTCTCCTCCTCCGGCCTTGCTGCTGCCTTTCTAGCAGCAGCTCGGAGCCCCGCTCCTTGCCGGCAGTAGCACTGGGCTGGGGAGAGGGATCTCAACCAGCCCAGGACCCATGAGTTTGTTTGCCTAGGGCCCACTAACAGGTTAATTCAGCCCTGACTGAAGATATTATTAAAATATCCCACCATGGCATAATATTAATATTGTATAGATATTTGAAAATGGGAAAGTACTGCAGATTTTAAAGCTGTAACATAGTAAAAATTTAAATGGAGATGCTGTTAAACATGCAGCAATTCCTTGTCAGAACTTAGTCTAAAATATTGTATTAATAACTAAGTTTCTGTTTTTCTAGATGAGCCATTTTTTAGCACAACAGTATGCTGCGTGCAATCCAATGGGGTACCAACATCCTTACTATCAGATGACACCTCCACCATCCTCAGAGTTGCCCGTTTCACCATATCTGCCTCCTGCTGAGGACTTTAAAGCTGGGCAGAGCTCTTTTGAGTGGGTCCCTCCACAATCAAGTGACTGTGAACTGTACCAAGTTAATGAAAGCCCACATAAAAGAAAAAGAGAGCAGCAAACTAGTGATAGTGATAGCAGCATTGAAAATGACAGAAAAAACCAAAGAGAACATGACCAAAAATACAAAAAGTGTAAAGCCAAGAAAAAAAGGCGTTAATATTATGTAACTGGATTCATAATTTTTTATGGCACTTGAGTTTTTTTTTTTATTTAAGAGGGAAAGTCTGTGTCTCTCATCTTTGCACTTTACAAAACACAAGATTTGCAAAATTCACAACCTGTTGTTTTCTGAAAGGTATTATTATATATATAAGGTACCTTACATTGTAGCTAATCGTGGCTTATTTGGAGGAATAAATCCTTAAAAAAAGATATAAGACATATTTTAGAAGGTAAGGTTTTCTTAATAAAGGACAACACAGGGGTTTTTTTTCCCCTGCTATGTTTTCTCTTACCAGTAATGAATATTGTTTCAGTAATACAGGAATCTTTCAGCAACCACAAGTGCAGCATTTAACTGTATTACTTTTGAATGAAGGTAAGGTCTCAGTCCAGAGGTCTTTAGATGATTGTCAAAACTGAGTAGAATTAAAGATTCAGGATTTCATAACCAGTTTTAATTTGGAATCAGGGATAAACAACAATAAAGAGGAATTTTCAAATGTGAGAGTTTGCCTTGATTTAAATTTCTTACCAAAAGGTATATTTTCAGACAAAGACCTCATCTTCTACAGATATTAGTACAGCTGGGCTTATGTGATAAACCTGAGTGCAACTCTGAGTACAGTAGTTGCAATTGTGGCTATATGGCTTGAGGCTATATTTACTCACATATGTTCCAAGTGATGCCAGTTTGCTACAGATTTATCTATTAATATTTTTCTTTACGTATTTTACTGGGATATGTGAATTTGGCTCAGAAATGTCACTGGGTATTCTGATTTGTAACCCAAAAGCAAGACTTGTGTTACTTTCTACAGCAGTTGTATGCTTAGAAGAAAAATAGTTTCCTGTCTAACAAATGAAAAACATCACTGTGGTGGGCTGTGATTAATTGGAATAATGTAGAAAGAAAGAAATGTTTTTTCCCCCCCTCATTTTCACTGCCTGGCTTATTTTTTGTAACAAAGTGTAATTCACTACAATCACTACCTTAAATTGTAGTACTGTATGGAAGGATGAGGGAGGCTGTATCTTAGAGGTATCATGCAGAAAGAACTTAAATCCTGGATGTGAAAGCACAGGGACTGGTCTGAGCCCACATTACAAGCCAAAGTGACAATCAGGATGATGGTGTTGCCCTCAGCGATTGAGAATGGGAGCTGAGAGAGAAGAGGAAAGAGAGGAAGAGTGTGGGCAGCATGATTAGTTTGCTAAAGAGGTTGTTCAGTATTAATGCTTAGAGCAGTGGTTCTCAACCCTTTTTGGACTCAAGGCACCCCCGCTCTTAGTTTTCACTCATTTTTGCCTCAGAAAGATAATGAGCAATTCTTCTCTTGCAAATAACTCCAAAAACCCACAGTATGGCAGAATGTTTTTAACACTGGATTCCTGTTTGAAACCTCCAGGCTTATTCCATGCCTCATATTGGCCCACCTGTATTAGTTACCAAGATTACAGTATGGTCGTCTCTGAGCCTTTTCTTGCCTACCTGGATAGAACCCGATGCTTTGACCTAACTTTCCTGCCTTATTTGATGAAGCAATGCTCAGCATAACCTTGCTCAGCACCCTTGCCAGGATCTCAAAGCACCCTAGAGCAGTGGTTCTCAAACTTTTTTGTACCAGGACCCATTTGTAAACATCAGTGGCCAGTACTGACCCACTGACCCTTGTTCCCAGCCCCCCAATGTGTGGAGCAGTGGGGGGTAAGGAGTCTGGGGCATAGGGTGCCCCAAGCAGCCCCTCGCAGGCTGGGACTGCCAGCCTGCAAGGGAAAAGCCATGTTTTTCTCCTGTAACAGAAATCTGTTTTTAAAGTTTGTTTGCAACCCTTTCACATATTCTTGCCACCCCCTTTTGGGTTTTGACCCCATAGGTTGAGAAATGCTGCCTGAGGGTGCCTCACTGGCCTGGAAGGAGAAGAGAAGAAGGCCAAGGACAGAGCCCACCAGAGCAGAGAGGAGCTGGACCTTCCAGGCTTGCTTGCCTTGCCTTGCTTATTGGGCTAAGCTCAGGCAGGGCGTAGGGTAGGCTGGCACCTGAGACCCATGGGTTCAGTGTCTGACCAAGCAGGCTGCCCCCTGCCAAAGTGCAAAGTTAGTCTCCTTTATCCAGGGGGGACATTGGATCCACACTCAAGAGGCAAGGCTGGCTTCTAAGCACTACCCACGCTCTAGAAATACAGGCAAGCTTCTTTGGGTAGATGTGATATCTTTTCTTAGACCAACGGGCAGGAGAAACACTGGGTCCAAGAAGGCCGTTTTCCTTAAGCCCTCTCTGGGATAACTGTTCTTCTGGTGTGGTTTAGTACCCACTGAGGTGTTGGGGCTTAAAGCCCATTTTCTGGAAATGGTAGGCTCCTCTCTAGCTTGCCCCTGTGGCCATATGGCTGAGGGCTGGTGAAGCTTGGGGGCATCCAAAGCCCAA